ATATATATATATATGTATTAATATAATTTTTAAATTTCTGTATTAAAGTAATATTTCAATATATCTCTGTGCAGTTCGATTGCGCAGAGATATGTTGAAATATAGTTTCGATATTATTTTTACTGCGCAAACTATATTTTTAAAATGCAAATTATTGGAAAGGCCTTTCGCGTTCTATATATAAGATTAGGTGGTAAGTTCGTGCGGCATCGTACCTGGCAATTTTTGATTACTCAACTTATAATCTCGATCTCTCGGGGCAATCATAAGGATATACCTATTTCAAAAGACCTTGGCATTTGACATTAGATATTTTGGGGGTGATGGTACAGATCGGCCTTCAGGCAAGTTCTTTTAAATTGAGAATATGAAAGTCATCACAATCGTACGTACATGCAACATGGTACTCGGCACGGTTTTCGAAATTGTCGCTTTTGTCAAAATTGTGGCTTTGTAAACGGAGAATTGTAAACGGAGAATTTACGACAATTTCGTTTTACGAATCGAATTTGCCGTTCGTTTCGACGACTCGCTCTCTAACATTCTCGGCAAAGTTCTAATGAAGATTCTTGAGATCGAAAAACGACTTTCTCTTGTGCAAATACTGAGCGTACGGGACCGTATCGCATTTTATGCTCACTCACTTCTCCGACATGTTTTTCGAGTTCTATATTATTCAATGATACCTGCAACAGCCTGATCAAAGATGCAAATTGCTTTTGATGGACAAACACCGATAGCATTTTAACATTATAATATTTATTATAGTAAATTAAAAAATATTAAAATATTAAGTTGATACGAGGGATTTTATTTTAAATACTGAAAAGACGAGAGGATAAATTAAAAATAAATTAAATAGAGAATTTTCGTCTTTCCGTGGTAAAAGATACTTTTGAAAAATTAATCATCGATTATAACAAAGTATATATAAATAAAACATAAATTTTTAATAAATTCAGAAAGAAGAAATAAATAAGTTTGAACGGATTATTTAAACTTTCTGCATAAGTTGTAATATTGTAAGATGACAAGTTACTTATTGGTATTTCATTACATTTCAAAAATACAATACAAAATGGGAACTCTAGAAAATTATAATTCCAGGAAGGAACGTACGACATATTAAAAATAAATCGGAGATAAAAGGATCTTTAAAAGTTTTAACTTTAGCGATTGTTACCTGTATTCGCGCGTATTCCGTATACGACATAGTTCGCGTTTCTAGCAAGAACTTTGGGACGCAAGTTTGACGAAGTGGCTTGCGATATGTTCAATAGGGACACTTGCGGTAGAACTGTGTCAGCGTTGCTACACGAAGAAAGGAAACAGGACGAAAAAGGAGTTGCAGCGTGGGCGAACTTAATCAACTAGTAATCGGCCAAGAAGTCGGTGAAAGAGAAAGAGCAATCTCGTCGTATCGTATCGAGCAACAAAGCGACCTACGTACTTGGAAATCTTTCTGAGAAAAACGTGACGTAAGGTAGTGGAGAAAAAGAGAGAAAGAGAGAGGGAGAGGGAAAAAAAAATTCTCCGAGTCAGTGTTAAAGCGACGGTGACAGCCGAGGTGTCTCTCCGTGGGTGCATTAAATCGATGCTCGCGATTGATTACCCGACAACGAGAAAATAGCCAGGCGCTCGAGAATATCATTGCTTTCGTGACAGGTAGGTTTTGCCTTTACGAAGTAGAGCAGCACACAAACGTGATACATCGAACAGACATGTATATGTGTACGTACGTCTAGATATCCCAAAACTTCGAGGTCTCACAACAGAACTGAACGTAAAAGCAAAAATTTAAATTTTAAATCTCGGAAAATCAATACACAGCAAAACTGACTTCATAAACAAACCTTCTAACCTCGTAAACGTGATCATATATTTATTCGTACTTATACGAATACATATTGTAGTAAAATGCACGTGTACCCCCCTTCCTCTACACGTATGATTATAAAGTTAGATTCTTCGAGAATACTTGTGTATTCTAAAAATATAAAATAATACCCCCGGTTATTTCGGTCTCTTCGAGTCAGCCGAGTGAAATTTTTCCAGCGATCTCAGAATGAGGTATATCGACTACGCATGAATGAACGCGCAACTTTCCTAAAAGGCGCGTCGAAAGTGCCAATAGGATGAATGAAGGGAAGCGTGGGTGCGGTTAATCGAGCGCGCGCGCGCGCGCGCTCAGCGGGAGGAAAGATAGGGAGAAAGGAAAAACGACAACTAATTTTCAAGAGCGTCAGAAAGAAATGTAAACCCGCGAGTTTCTCTTAATTGATACATCAGGGAGCGAAATGTGTAACGAGCTCTTCACGATAGATGAAAAGTGTGGGTGCGCGAACGTAGTAATGAGAAAAGGAAGGGGAGGGAGAGAGAGAGAGAGAGAGAGAGAGAGAGAGAGAGAGAGAGAGAGAGAGAGAGAGAGAGAGAGAGAGAGAGAGAGAGAGAGAGAGAGAGAGAGAGAGACGAGACGAGAGAGACGAGTACGACGTAACGACGTACGACGTAC